CGTCCAGTGACGCTCGCTGCAGCGCCTGGATGGGGGCGGCAATGGGACATTCCCCCTTGTCCCTCCATCCCATCTCCATCCCATCCCATCTATCCCGTTGCATCCCATCCCATTCCATTCCATCCATCCCATCGCATCACATCTCATGTTCCCATCCCACCCCAACCCCACTGTCCGACCCTGTCCCCCATCTCCATTCCAGTCCCCTTCACCCCCATCCCACCATCGTGTCCCCACCGTCCCATTGAATCCCCACCATCCCACCCTGTCTCCCTGTCCTCATCCCACTATCTGGTCCCCACCACTCCCATTATCCCATCTCCACCATCCCATCCCATCACCACCACTCCAGTTCCCACCATCCCATTCCTCTGGTCCCCAATCCCCTGTCCACTGTCCCCATTCCTACCATCCAGCCCCCCTGGCCTCCATCCAGCCATCACATCCCCACCATCACATCCCATCTCTCTGTCCTCATCCCACCATCCCATTCCTCTGGTCCTCATCCCATCATCCTACCACATTGTCCCATCCTGTCCCCACCATCCCCATCCCGTCCCCATTGTCTCATCCTATCCTATTCCCATCAATCCATCCCCCTGGTCCCCATCCTACTCCCACCATTCCCATCCCCATCCCGCTATCCCATCCCTACTATTCTGTCCTGTTCCTGCTGGTCCCCATCCCCCCATCCCATCCCCACTGTCCCATCCTATCCTATTTCCACCATCCCAGCCCCCTCGTCTCCATCCCAACCCCCTCCCATCCCCACCATTCCCATCTCCCCAGTCCAATCCTGTCCCTCCTATCACCATCCCATCCCATCCCATCCTATCCCATCCCATCCTCCTGGTTTCCATGCCACCGCCACCATCTCATCCTGTCCCTACCATCCCATCCTTCCAGTCTCCATCCCATTCCCACCATTCTCATTGCCACCACCTCGTCCTCCCAGTTCCCATCCTTCCATCCTGTCCCCACCGTCCCATCCCATCCCAACCCATCCCCATCCTCATCCCATTCTTACCATCCTGTCCATATCCTACTATCCCATGTCCACAATCCCATCCTGGTCCCCATCCGGCTGTCCTGTCCTCACCATTCCCATTCCCACCATCCCATCCCATCACATCCCATCATGTTCTTACCATCCCATCTTGCCCCCACTGTCCCATTCCATCCCATTCTGCTCCCCTGGTCCCCATCCAATCTCCAACTCCATTTTAATCCCAACCCATCCCCTTGTGTTCCTCCCATCCCATCTTGTGCCCACCATCCCATTCCATCCCCCTGGTCCCCATCCCATCTCCAACTCCATTTTATCCCCACCCCTACCATTCTCATTGCCACCACACTGTCCCCTTAGTCCCCATTCCATCACCCTCTCCCCACTGTCCCATCCTATCCCATAATCTCCACCATTCCCATTCCCACCATCCCACTCCCCTGGTCCCCATGCCTTCCCACCATCCCCTCCCATCTCTGTCACCATCACCTCCTCACCACCACCATTGCTCCATCCTGTCCCCACTGCCCCATCCCCTTCCCACTATCCTGTCCTGTCCCCATTGTTCCCCTGGTCCCCATCCCCTTCTCACTATCCCCTTCCCACCGTCCCCATCCCACCATTTCCATTGCCCTATCCTGTCCCCACTGCCCCATTCCATCCTCACCATCATATCCTGTCCCCATTGTCCCCTTGGTCCCCATCCCACCATCCCCTCCTGTCTCCATCCATCCCCACCACCCCCACTGCCCCACCCCATTCCCACCATCCCGTCCTGTCCCCATTGTTCCCCCAGTCCCCATCCCACCATTTCCTTCCCACCATCCCCATCCCACCATCTACTTACCATCGTCCCCATCCCCTTCCCACCGTGCCCTCCCATCCCCATCCCATCCCCACCTTGCTGTCCTTTCCCCATTTTCCTTCCAGTCCCTATCTCACCACCCCC